TATGGTGATGCTTACAGTGGAGAGAGACTTTGCTTTGGTGAAGGACTCCATGTAGGACAGCGTGGGGACCCAGGGTAGCCCATGGTGTTTCTGCACTGGCCCACTTTTGGTGTTCAAGACACTGTCAGTCAACAGAATGTTGTCAAACACCAGGTTTGGAAACTGCTCTAAAGTTCCCAGATAGTTCTTTGTCCTGGTTCCAGCCAGAACAGGGTTAATTTTTGTAGTAGGTGTGAGGAAGCATGGCCAGGACCCAGAGGTTATTCTGTGCCATCTTACTCATTGCTGGGGGCTGGGAGGAAAGGAGTAATGTGATGGGGGAGCCATCTGGTATTCGTTTGTTGTTGGGGGCTTTCCATGTAAATAACTTTCTTTTCTTATACTTTTTGTTATTAATATTGTTGCTGTTACTGTTTGTGTCTTATCTCATTGCTGTTTCCAGTAAATTGTGCTTATCTTAACCCATGATCTTGGCCTTTTGTGCCTCCAGTTGGGGAGGAGTGAGTGGTGCATGGTTTTAGCAGGAATACTAAATTGGAGAATACCATTCCTAAACCACCACACTCCTAAAAACCCTTCTGCAGTTCTCCTCAGAATAAACAGCCCTTCTCTCCAATATGCAAGGTACAGTTTACAACTTTTACCCCAAGGCCATGTTTTTCCAGGCATCCTTTCTTTCCTTCAAGGGGGAGAAGCTTCCCTAGAGCAAGGCTCCCCTTGCTTGTTGTTGAGGGCACCTTCAAACTCCAGTTTCAGGAGTCCCAGCTCAGGCAGGGAATTCTCAGGTCTCCCAAGTGAAGTAAGTTATTTAAATATGTCTGATTTCTACTTGAAAGTTGAATTGTTACTTGCTAATTATAGCATGTATTGCAAGGTTAATTCAATAGCAGCTGAGCAGCATCTGGATGCAATACAAGGCTGTCTGTCAGCAGCTGCATTTTTGGCTTTGCTGGAAGTCAGGGAGACTGCTGATGAAGGCAAAGGAACCCCAGGTTTTCCAGACAATTAAGGTCCTCTGACAAGATCAGTAAATATGGTAAAACTCTATATTCTAAAAATATGCTTTTGTTTTATGTTCCTAAACATTTCTGGCTGAGCCCCGGGAGGGTCTGGAAATTCTGTATACAAGCTCGTTTCCTGTTATAAACTCCAAATTAGATGCTATTATTGAAGGGTGGTAGGGAGGTGCAGATCCTCCCAGCAAGGCTATGAGCTGCTCTCAGATGACTCCTCCAGACATGTGCTCCAAGAGTAAGGCTACTTAATGGCAGTACCCCAAAATCTAGGGAATGTTAATGGGTCCATTGCCTGGCATGGTTCACTGAAGCACTGCTGCAGGCTCAGTTTCTCTGGTACAAATCCAAACCAGCTCAAGAGATGCCAATGGAGCTAATTTAGAGGAGAAACACCTTGGAAGAGCTGAACTTGACCCACCCTGCTCAAGGGACTGCCTGTTGGAGGGGGTCTGGAGGAGACCACAGAGCTGCTCCGAGGGCTGGAGCCCCTCTGGAGCCAGGCTGGGAGAGCTGGGGGTGTTCACCTGGAGAAGAGAAGGCTCCAGGGAGAGCTCAGAGCCCCTTCCAGTGCCTAAAGGAGCTTGGCACTTGTGGGGGTGCATCCTGAGTCCTGTGTCCAGTTATGAACCCCTCACTTCAAGGAAGACATTGAGTGGCTGTAGTCAGTCCAGAAAAGGGAAACTGAGCTGGGGAAGGGTCTGGAGAGTAAATCATATGGAGAGTGGCTGAGAAAAGGAAGCTCCCCCCCATCAGCAGGGACCTTCTCACTCCCTATGACTGATGATTGTAACAAGGTGGGGGTTGGTCTCTTCTCCCAGGCACTAAGCAACAGGGAGAGAGGAAATGCCTTCAAACTACACCAGAGGAGACTCAGGTTGGAATTGGGAGGAATTCCTTCAAGGAAAGGCTTATTAGACATTGGAAGGGGCTGCCCAGGGAGGTGGTGGAGTCCCCATCCCAGGACATGCTCAGGGAACAACTGGATGTGGCACTGAGTGCTCTGGGCTGAGTGACAAGGTGGGGATTGGTCACAGCTTGGACTTGATGATCTCAGAGGTCTTTTCCAACATTAATGATTCTCTAATTCTGTGGTTCTGTGAGGAAAGCTGGAGAAGAACTTTGGGCAAGGGTCTAGAGGGATAGGACAAGGAACCCTCATTTCCTACTGGAAAGGGCAGGGATGGATGGGATATTAGGAAGAAATTCTTCCCTGTGAGGGTGGGCAGGCCCTGGCACAGGTGCCCAGAGCAGCTGTGGCTGCCCCTGGATCCCTGGAAGTGTCCAAGGCCAGGCTGGGTGGGGCTTGGAGCAACCTGGAACAGTGGAAGGTGCCCCTGCCCATGGCAGGTGCTGGAACAGGATGAGTTTTAATGTTTCTTTCCAGCCCACACCATTCTATTGTTCCGTGATCTTGGGTGTAGAAAACCCTCCAAAAGCTTCTGGAATCCCATTTTGCCATTTGGAAACCAGTCATGCAGCAGATCCCAGCTATGAGTTAAAAAGTCAGGAAGGAGAGCCCTGCAGGCACCACTGCTGAGGCAGCCTGAAGGGAGAGCTCTACATTGTTCCTCAGGCCTGAGCTATTAAGCTCCATGTTGGTCAGTGACCTGTGACCCCAGCCTTGTGTGCAACCTGGAGAAGCTCCAGCTTGGGGAACCCGTCCTGGCTGAGTGGGAGCATCAGCTCGTGCATTCTTGGCTTGAAGGGAGCTCCCTGGGACACCCAAGCAAGAGATGACTTCATCTGAAAGGAATTTGTGTTCTCTGGACCATGGGCAGGTGCCACACTGGGACCCAGGAGCCACGGAGGGTCAGGAAAACCTGATCCTGCAGCACAGCACTCTGCTCTGAGCCTTTTGCAGCCTCTTCTTGATCAGTTTGACCCCTTCAGGCTCCTCATTAATCCATAACAGACAAGACACGGCCACACAAGCAGAGTTTATGGAGAAAACCTGGATGTCATTAGGTAGGACTGCTTCTGGGAATGTTTTCCATTGAGAGGAGCCCTGAGCTGGGCCTGCTCCACGCTTTCCACTTGTGTGTGTGTGTTTGGGGTGGGGGTGGTGGCCTGGGAGCACATCACTGCACTCCCATGGAACTTATTAAAGATGATATGTATTAGCAGCAGATGGATCTTCCTCTACCCATGGGCCTGGAAGCTTGGAGAAGGCACGAGATGGGCAAGGAGAGCAGGAGACCGGGTGCTGAAGCAAGTACAAGCTGTGCTGAACACCAGAAGTGAAAGAGCCAACACTCCAAGTACCTCATTTTGGGGAAGCTCTCCTTGGTGAAGGGCTCAGAGAGAGCTGGGTTGCCTTGGAGCTTCAGATGGGTCAGTCCAGCCAAACCATCCAGGGGCAGCGTGACCAACTGGTTGTCAGTCAAGTCCCTGGTGAGGGGAAAGCAGAGAGGGAGACCACAGTCAGTGAGTGATATCTCAGCCAAGCAGGGGCACTGCCTCTATTGCTCCCTTGATGTGATGCTGAAATGGGGCTGGGTGCTGCACTGGGGCCAGGAGCCTCTGGAGATAAACACTGCAGTGCTGGGGAAAATGAGGGACCGGGGTCAGTGGCCATCTAAAAGCTCTGGGGGGAATCTCCCTCGTTGTGCACATACGTGTCCCACACGTCTCTTCCTCCACTGCAGCTCAGGAATGACTGCAGATCCCAGCCCATAAAATACCTTAGAGAGGGGGCTGAGAACTGGGAGCCAGCACAGATGGTCTGCAGTGGCTCTTGCAGAAACAGCCCATCATGCTGATCTCCCTTAAAGGCATCTAAGGTGGCGGTGAAAGTATCAGGAAGTGGAGGTTTAAGTGTTCAGGGTGAGAGTGTTTTGAAGATGGCTTCTCCTGCACTTCATCCCTTTATTAATTAATAATTAATAAATAAATTAATTAATTGGAAATCTTGGGATTTGTTCTGTCCACATCAGTGCTGAGACATGAACCTCAACTCATCAGTGTTCCAGCATCTAAATCCAGGTGTTCTGGCAGCCCAGGGAGTCATTCTGAGGTCCTCAGATACCTCCTATCCATGGTCCACTGTGAAAGAAATATCCCTGCAACTTACAGCTTGGTGAGGGAGTGCAGGGTCACAAAGGCTTCTGGGTGAATGAACTGGATGTAATTCCAACTCAGGTCTCTGCAAGGTAAGGACACAGCAGTGAGAAGAGAGCAGAGCAGGGCAGTGAAGCTGCTGACACTGGCCTGGCCAAGGGCCCTGGTGGGAGCACATGGGGGATCTGCTGCCCCTTGGTCAGCAGCAATTTCTGTCTCATTGCAGCTCCCCACAGACAGGTCTGGGTCTGTATAGGGGTGGTTTCTAACAGGGCACAAGAGTTTGCCTTGAAGGAGCTCCTCTGCTGAGACCAATGGAAAAGGTTATTTTCTGGCTTAATTTCTGTAAATTTGGGATTTTTTTGCCATGCCTTAGTGCCAGAGCATCCCCAGTGCAGTCACAGTGCTGGCTGCAGCAAGGGCAGATAGAGCCAGAGGTCTGGAGAAGGTGATTGTAGAATGTCTCCTGCCATGTACAGGTGCTTTGGATTCACTGAGTCCCCTCCTTAAGCTCTGCCTCCATCCAAGTGAGAGGGCTCCACTCCCTCTGTCACCAGTGTGGAGGAAACCACCAAACTGGGACACGTTTCTTGCCCTCAGGCTGGCTACAGGACAACCTTCATCTCTGCAGCTTGAAGGGAGCCAAGACACCTGCTCAGATGTGACATTGGGTGGGAGGAATCCTTTCTGCAGGGACCAGAACACCCACAAAGGTCACGGCAAAGCTTGCTCAGCCGTGTGTGTGTGACTGGGCTGGGGCAGCATGCTCGTGTTTCCCTGAGTGCCTGCAGTGTCACCTGTCACACCTCGGTGTTCCTGGGCTGTTGGAACCGTGGTGGACGTGTGACACTCGTGGGATCCCAGGAATGCTGGGCTGTTAAATGGCACTCACATTGCTGCACCAGGGCTCTTCCCAGATGTCACAGAGCCAATTGTGCCCTCCAGGGCCTTGCCAGCTCTCCAAGGTGCCAAGCACTCAGGAGGTCACTGTGTGTGTGTGGAAAGCACATGCTTGGGTGCACTTGGTAGGTGGAACACGAGCTTTTGAGTTGTGGGGAGGAACTTTCAAACCAAACACTGCATGGGTGTTCCAGGACCAGCCTGTGTAGGACAGGGGGTGCTGGGGCTCAGGCACACAGGTAAATCCCTGCCCTGAGTTTCTCCTGGTGTTCAGGGGGCCTGTCTGTGATGTGGGTTCTGCCTTGGCAGAGCTGCAGCACGAGGGGAGAGCATGGGGGGTGTGGGCACGAGGGGGCAGGTAAGGACCAGGGGCTGCAGGGACAGGGAAAACCAAAAGGATGGTTTGTGCCCTCTTCTTTTCTACGGCAGAATGGAAGAGGGACTCAACAGAAAAGCCTCTCAGCAGACACAGAGGCAGGTGGGGAACTTCTCACAGCCCGTTTGGGTTCCCAGTGCCCCCTCCCCAGCATGACCCCAGCTGGGGCTCACGTCTGCCCTGGCAGACAATACTTGCATGGAGCGCAGGGCCATCAGCTGCACGAAGGTGTCTGCTCTGATCTCCTGGATCTTGTTGTGCTGGAGACCACTGGAAAAACAAAATCTGGTTTGAGAAGGGAGCTGAAGGCAGTGTTCCTACACTGTTGAGATCTTTGTCCCAGTGCAGCAGACTGTCACAGTGGAAGCTGCTGTGCTTGGGAGACCTGCTCTTATTTCAAGTGTTTAACAGGATGAGCAGCAAAATATGTCAAAGTCATTCTCTCCTACAGGCAGCTCCAGGGCTCAGACAGCCTCTGCTGAAGATGCCATCATGACTCAGTAAAGAACTGTTGATGTGCAGTAGCCAAAGGTGCCCTGTTAACCCCAAATCCACACTGGTTTCCCACTCTGCTCTGCCCTAAGCCTCCAAACTGCTTTTTCTAGAGGAAAAGCTGACAGCTTGGAGGCAGTGACCAGCAACCAGCTCTGTGTGACCCTTCAGGAAGGAACATGTGATGCTGCTCTTTGCCTCGGTGAGGATGAAGATTTGAGGACTGAAGGTATCTCAGTTTTTCATGAAGAAAAATCTTGATGTCCTGTAAAACGCACTGTCCACATCTGCACATGAAGTGCCTCAGCCCTCCACATCTCCTTTCCAGCTCCTTCATCCTCTGGGGAAGGGGAAAGATTAGGGTGAGAGTTCACACAGACTCTGCTGACTGACCTACACACTCCCCACATCCTCAACAGACATCCTGGATGCTCCAACCACGCACCTTCATGGGAAAGGTTCAGTTCTCAGTTTGGTTTTCCCTAGTGTGAAACAGTGGTGAATACTTATTAAGATTCCTGCTGAATGCCCATCATGAATTCCCAGACCTGCAAAAGCAGTGTCCCCCCATCTACAGCCTTCTGCAAGGGGAGACAGCCACTGCCTGGTGCTCCATTTACAGCAGCTCCCTGGGCATTTTCCAGGTCATAAATCTGCCTTTAGACTCAGAAATGATCTTATCTCACTCAAGGACCCTCATGTACTGGCTGTAATGTCTCAGCTGGTATTTGGCCACATGCTCCCCTTCCAAAGGTGGGCACTTGAGCTGCTCCCCTGGTGCCCCACGGGCCCAGGCTGGCACTGCTCCTACCTCTAGCCAAGATTTCACCTGGGGGCAGCTGGAAGGTCTGGGCAAAAATTTGGGGGTCTCACTGATTGGAAGAGGGGGACTTTGGGCAGAAGGGATATTAGAGAAAGGTTGAGAAAAATAATTTAGGGATGTTTAGGTGTGAGGGATCACCTGTGTGGTGCAGGTAAGGGTCTGCAGTTACAGCAGAGCGAGGGCACACCTGAGCTGTTCCTGTGCCAGGCTGTACCACCAGGCACCACCAGACTTGCTTCAAACCATCAGGAATGCTTGGTGGTGCTGGAGCTTACAGGACAATAACTTTGGGGTTAAGAGACCAAATATTCATTTTGATCCCTTAATAAAAAAAAAATTAAAAAATATTAATTTAAGGTACATAGGTATAATCTGTTTGACTTCATTAGCCAGAAACCGGGATTAAATGTGATTTTATATGAATGTTAAGTCTGAATTTGGCATATTATGAAATTTTGTAAGGAGGAACTTGGGCAGAATGTGTGAAACTACAGGTTTGAAATTCTGAACATTTGTCTTTTTTGGTGTACTTTCTATTTTTTTCAAATATTTTCCTGGGGGTACTCTCACAGCTGCCATAAAAGGCAGCAGGGGCTGTGCATTCTCGTTTCCATGTAGTTTTACAGTGTTATTAATGTCCAGTTTGCTAAGGCTGGATGAGCTGGTCTGGCTATCCAGGCTGGGGTGCTACAGAGAGCAGAGACAACCTCTTTTGTGGGTTTTTTTAATGGGGATGCTGCTCCCATACATCTGTTCTTCCAGGTAGTAGAATTATTTAAAAACATCATGGAGTCTATCTTAATTTTTTTTAACAGTTTTCCTCAAAAAGGCCAAGAACTCATGTTCTGTTTGAAGTGTAGGGTCAGATCTCCAGACACTTTGAGCAGAATGTGAATATCTTTATCTCAGAGCAACAGCTGTGCCTCTTGGGGCTGGAGAGGAGCCAGTTCAAGAGCTACACCTGAGGAAAGAATCCCCCTTCTCTCAGGAGGGGCTGGCCCTGGGCAGGGTGGATAAAACTGCTTTGTGCCCATGGCATGGGCCCCCCCTTGAAGCGAAAGACATTTATGGTCTACATAAACCCCATTCCTGATTAACTCATAGTAGTTAATTAACTCATAGTGGGACTGGAGTTAGTGAATTCAGTGCTGTCACATCCTGCTTCTGTTTGAAGTGTCTGGGGCCTCTGAAAGCACCTGACTGAATTTAGCTCCTATGCACAGGGAATGTATTTTTATTCTGTACATGCACAGGGGCAAAGAGTGGAGCTCTGGTCCATTTGCACTCCAAACTGCATTGTAATGTCCAACTCTTCCAGTGCTCAGGGAGTTCTGTGTGTGGGAACTGCCCCTCTCCTCAAAGCCCCAGAAAAATCCCCAGAGCATAGCACAGACATGCACATCTCCATACTCACAGCTCTTCCAGCTGCTGGCACCGATGGAAACTGGGCAGCTCCTCGATTTGGTTGTGTGACAGCTCTCTGCAGGGAAAGGACAGTACAGGAATGTTGGGACACCAAAAGCCAGTGCCCCTGAGGCCTCCCTTGGAGAGCAGGTTCTGCTGGAGAGCAAGGTGACCTCGCTTCATTCTGCACATCTCCACTTTTGGTAACCCCTGGAGTGGGATCTCCAGCCTGCACCTGATGCTGGCTCTGGGGATGTTTCTGTGCAAGGCAAGGGTTGCCCCGTGATTCACCCCCTCACCCAGCCCAGCTCCTGCAGCACAGCCTGTGGGCTGGTGGAGCTGCTCATACAGCTGGGGTGGGCTTGTCTCCCCAGCCTCAAGGCAGCTGTGAAACCCTCCTGTGCCTCTTCTGCCATGCACAGCCCTGCTTTCTGTGGGCACAGCACAGAGAGATTTCTGCCAGAGCTTGCAGATGTGCCTGCAGAGCCTGGGGAGGTTTTGACCAGCTGTTTTCTCTCCTCCCTCCTGGCACAGCAACCCCACTGCCCATTGCCTGCTCCCCATTCAGCCTTTCCTGGCTTTCTCCCAAGATTAGGGAAGGGATTGTGGCATTGGCAGGGATTTGGTTCAGGACATTACAGACTTTGAAAACCTCTGGTCCTTGTTGTTTCAAGTGCTGTCACTCAAAAGCAGTTTGCAGCAAACTCCTCTTCCCCCTGGTTCGTAGCCCAGTGTCATGTCAGCATCTGGAGCAGAGTGGCTTGATAGTCAGAGGAAAACTCACCCTGGCACAGTTTAATGTGAACTTATTGAAGCTGAAACAGGCTGGGTAAGGAGCAATGTTTAAACCCAGCTCTTTCCCCCACCAGCAGAGACTGGATTTGTGGTTGTTCAAGGGAAATTTGCCCCAGGGTAAAGTTTTGTACGTGGTTTCTCTGCCGACTTTCCAAACTCGGTTTCCATCTTTCTGCCAATAGATTGCTCCTAAAATATTTCAATTATTTTTTTTTTGCCAACCCACTCACCACCAGTTTTCCATGGTGGAGAGGAAGAGGGAGGGAAAAGCAAGCAAAAGGTTTGTGCTTGACTCTGGAGGCTGTCACCCAGGATGGAGAAAGAGCCTTAGCATCAGTCACTTTTCCCTGGTCCCATTGGGCTTGCCAGGGCTGTAGCTTAGCTGAGAGTGTTGGGGGAGAACCAGCCCCAGGAGTTATTTCTGGCTCCTCCAGAGTGAGGGGAACCAGGTGCAGCCCAGAATCTACAAACAGAGCAGCCTCAGACACTCACACTCTGTTGGGAACATACCAGGATGGAGGTGCTGATGACATCAAGGGACTTCAGCTCTGCTCAGGGGAGCTTCACCTATTTCTGCTTGAGAAGAAGGACAAATCTTCCAGAGCTCAAGGAGCATTTGGACAACTCTCTCAGGCACAGGGTGGGATTGTTGGGGTGCTCTGTGCAGAGCCAGGAGCTGGACTCAATGATTTTGTGGGTCACTTCCACCTCAGGATGTACCATGATGACATGAAATCTGTGCCCTGAGCAGGAGCTCTGGATGAAAGCAGCAGGATGATTCCAGGTTGATGCCAAAGGCTGCCCTGCCTGTGTGTGCTGGGTTCAGCATGGGTGACATCCCAGGATGGCCGTGTGCCCCTGCAGTGTCTCTACAGTTCCCATGAGGGATCCTCACAGAGAATCCACACCATGGTGTGAGGCCAGAAGTGCAGCTTGGACTGTGTTATCAATGGTCAGATATGTCACACTCAGAGCTCCTATGGCTGCCAAAAGACAGGCAGAGAACAACCCCTGTGTCTGTGGGGACAGGGGCCAAGGCATTTCAATAGCAAGAGAGATGTAAACGTGCACAAACGTTGGCCCACATTCTCTCCAAACCCTGAAAGCAATGCAATTAATGTCAGGAAGGTTCACTAGGGAAGAGGAACAAGAAGCAAGGAACAAGGTGGTGTGTCCCAATAAAACTCTCCCACATGGTGGGGTGGGCACAAAGAACAGGCTCTGCTGTGAGGGTTTGTAGTCTGATAACTTGCAAACATAAACAGAGGTTTGGGACCCAACAGCCTGGGCCAGTCCAAAGCAACCACTGAATTGGTCCAGATGTCTCAAGATGAGAGATCTTCCCTACAGGGACATCTGGAACCAAAACCCTGTAATCTCCTAAGTTACAAATTGTCTTCTTTTATTTTCATGTTTTACTCTTGTTTCCGATTTCCGTGATCAAGAATTCACTCCTGTTGCTTTCCTGGAACAAACTTGTTTTCTTTTTCAGCTTGCTTGTATAAAGACTGATGAGAGGCAAGCCTGCTGTTGCCCTAAGGGTGCAAACTTGTATAAATCTGGCTCATGACTCATTTCCTGAGGACGTCTTTGACTCCAAACATTGTTGGGGATCTCAGGAACTAGGGGTACGATTCCTGAAATGATGCAAAATCTTTCTGAGATGTTGATTTCATCATGTACCAAGAAAAAGGAGAAAGCATGACCCTCCCCCCAGCATCATTCAGTGCCTGGCTAAGCAGGCAGAGCCAAAGAAACATAGAGACTGAGCACAATCGTGATCTGGCTGTGCCACCCCACATGAGGAAATGTGGCCTTGTGGCCTCACAGGTCTCCATCAGGTCAGACCTGATCCTTCCTGGGATACGAACAGGATCCTTCCTCCAGATGATGGCACTTACTGGAGCCCCAACTGCAATAAGCCAAGGCTGGGACAGAGGGTGAAGGTGATTTTCCCCTTGTTTTTGGGCTAAGAGCTTCAGCATAACTGTGAGCTCATTTTGTACCCTCCCTACTCTCCTTGCACAGGGGTGGGACAGTTCCTAGTGGTGCAGAGCGAGGAGGATGTGCCTGACTGCAGCCTGAGACCAGAGCATCATGCTGTGGTGAAGCAGCAAGTTGAGGAACAAGTGAGAGCTCAGAGTAGTCATTAAGAAGATGGTGATTTCTGCATGGAAAAGATGATGGAATGAGAACCACAGGATGGTCTTCCACAGCTGGTCCTATCCCTGATCTAGACAAAAGGAAAGCCCAGTTCCTGAGGGCATTTTTTAAGGACCAGGCAGGACAGAGACACAGGTTACTCACAGAACTCGGAGGCTGGGCAGCTGCTGGCACATCCTTCTGGGGAGGAAATGGATGCCTGCCCGGGTCAAGGTCCTAGAGGGATGGAGGAGAGAGAAGAAATGGTGTTGCTGACAGCCAGCACCCAGACTCTGTGACCCAGAAGCCTGGCTGCCAGTCCCAGATAGTGGCAGGAAAGACAATATCAGTAGGACAATAAAATACCTGGAGAGAATAAAAACCAGCCTGGCAGTTTTGGAAACAGCCACAGCTGCTGGACCTGGCTAAGGTGAACGTGCTTATGAAGAGTTCTGGGCCATGGCTGAGTACTGAATTCACAGCTGCCCTTGGCCTTGCTGGGGGCAGTGCCCTCTGCACCATGCTCTGCCATCCCTGTTCCCATTGTTCAGGCTGGACAGGCCTGGAGCCAGGACTCCTCAGAAACCTGTGTATGAGGGATGGATGGTGTGTCCCTGTGTCCCTGAGACATGGCATGGCCAGGCCACACCCTGGCCAGGGGTGCTCCCAGCCTGGGCTCAGCATGGGGGCTGGTGTTTGAGAGAGGAGAACTGTGTGTGGCCAGAGGCAGCGTGTCCTCCAAGGCCCTGCTCTCCTGAGGAGGGGACAGGGTGGCTGCAGGAGCCCCAGCCTGGGGACAGGGTGGCTGCAGGAGCCCCAGCCTGGGGACAGGGTGGCTGCAGGAGCCCCAGTCTGGGGACAGGGTGGCTGCAGGAGCCCCAGCCTGGGGACAGGGTGGCTGCAGGAGCCCAGCCTGGGGACAGGGTGGCTGCAGGAGCCCCAGCCTGGGGACAGGGTGGCTGCAGGAGCCCCAGCCTGGGTGGCAGACGTTTCCTGAACCACACCACGGTGCCAGTTCCAGTATGGGCAGAGACACTGGGGTGCAGCAGAAGCACTGGACTCAGAGGTTCACTCCTTCACAGATGCAGGAGGGAAGGAAGAAAAAAACCAAACAAACCAAAAAACAGACTGGAGCACACTCAAGAGTATCGAGAGAGCCACTCACAGGGAGGAAAGCTGTGTTCAGGAGCCACAGGGGTGAAACGAAGCGGAAGGGTGAGTGACCAGGGAGAGGCAGAGCTGAATACTGCACAGCACTGGGAAAGTTGTCCTCACTGAAACAGCCTGGACCGCCTTGGAGGAGGAAGAGCACAGCTAGCAGGGTAAAAGGGAGAGAGGTGCCACTCACAAAACTTCTAGGCTGGTGGTGCCTTTAAGGTCTGGGAATTCCCTGATGTCCGTTGCTCCGTTGAGTGACCTGCAGAGAAACGAGGGTGAAGTGAGCTGGACAGAGGACCTGGAGGCAAGTGCAACTGCCCAAGGTTCCAGACCCATCAGCCACGGAGGCAAATCTGCTTCCTCACACCCAGGTGTGATCAAAGCCCAGATCCTGCATGTCCCTGCGCTGGAGCAGATGCCTCGCTCCGTGTGGATACAGTGAGATGGAGCTGGGCACTTCTATGCAAGGAGACTTGGCAAGCTCAGAGCCTCTCCCAGCCACTGACATTCTTGGCACAATCTCTACCCAAATTAAATAAAAAAACCCCCAGCAATTACCACAGGGAATGCAAGCAGGGCATCCCACCCAAGCCTCCCTGGGTCTGTGCATTTGGATCTAAAGAATGTAGAGCTATTTGAATGATTTATTTTATGTGCCTGGGTGAGGCTTGTAAATAGAGATTTATGAGGTTGCCTCTGCCTCAGTATTTATAGTTCTGTGCCACAACAGGTTGGCTGAAGAGCCAACATGGGGCAGCTGTTGGGGTCCAGGTGGTGCCCAGCCTGTGCTGGTGGCCCTGGAGCAGCAGGCCTAGGCCAAACATGTGAAGGAGGCACTTGCACTGCTGGCTGCCCAGCAATATGATTTGTGCCATGGTGTTACATGTTACTCCACTTCTCCATCTTGTGGAGGAAGGCAGATGTCCTTCAGTGTCCTTCTGTTTGGGCAATTATACAACAGAAGCAAAAGCTGTGGCACTTGTGTATCAGGTCTTTGCTGCTCCTGGCACAGCTGTGGAGACCCTGGAAGGCCTCAGTGCCTGTCAGCTGTGTGGGGAGGAGGAATTAGTGGCTGCCTCCAAAATGCCCTTTTCAAAATTATCCTTCCTCAGAAGAAAACATCTGCAGTGTCCACTCCTTGGAGTAGCCTTTGGGCAACAGAGTGGTTTCATGATCCTCTATTGGCACAGGGGCTCTTGAAAAGTGGAAGGGAGGAGGCCACAAAGGTGCCCAGTACACAGGGCTTGGAGCTTGGATGTTACCTCTCTGTGAATGTGCTTGGTGAACTTACAGAGTGTGGAGCTTTGGCAAGTACTGGAAAGCAGACTGTCCAACAAACTGGATGGGGTTGTCATAAAAATGGCTGCAATGGGAAAGAGGAACAGGTCAGAGTTTGCTGCACACAGTGAAGATGCTGTTACAGGTCAAGAGCCCCAGAGCTGCTGTGCTGTGAGGAACTCTTGTTCCCAGATAACCACAGGCTCTCCCACTGGCCTGTTTCAGCTGGGCATTGGTATGACTGAGGTCTCCTGCTGGTCTGAATGGGTCCTTTGGGGTCCTGCTGAACCAGACAGGCTAGAAAAGTGTAAAGCCCTTCTTCAGTCCTACTGAGAAGCACCTTGCACCGGAGGCCACCTCCTGTGATCTCACACGCCTTTCCCACTTGTCCCAGGGGAGAGAAGTGAGCTCTTGTAGGATATGGGAGGAGCTGAGTCCCCTCCTACAAGAAGCACTTCCCCCCCACTAAGTGTGAAAGACTTCAGGTGGGCAGATGCAATGGAGAGATGAACATTTTGGGTGTATGGGCCCCACCACCCATCACTCTGTGGATGCTGCCCAGGGGAGATGGGGATGAGACTGGTTGTTCTGGCTGGAGCAGTGAATGGTTTCACCCAGTGTCACCCATGGCTTTCCAGATACTGGTATTTCTATAATTTGAGTCTGGACAAGCAGAGTTTTTGTCACTTGCCATGGTTTTCAATGTCTGTGTGGTTCAGAGAAGTATCCAAAAATCACTAACTGTGCCTGGGTCAGAGCAGAAATAATGTGACAGCTGGGTGTGTTTATCTGCAGAACTTTGTGTCCCAGGTCTGGGCAGACACACAGGGATCTGGTATCCCAGCTCTCTGACACGTGTAGCTGCTGCTGTAGCTGGCCAGCAGCTTTTCTGAACACAAGGAATAAACATCAGCAGATGTCAACCAGGGCTTAGGCTGTTTCCATGCAGACCACCTGTAGTTTGTTCCTCCCTTGCTATCAGCCTGTGCTGCAGGAAAGGAGAGCCCACAGCAGTTCTGAGAAGAAGCAATTTCAACTTTGGCACATGGATAGCAAATATCAGATTGTTGTCATTTGACCACTGTCAGAAATCCCAACTAAAGACATCAGAAAATGTCTCTTTCTGGGCAATATAAAGATGTAGGAAACATTATTTAATTTTCTTACATTGTTTGGAGGAGAGGATTCCCAATGAATGCGTTCTCTGGAATAGCTTTGATGTTGTTGTTATGAAAGCCACTGTTGAGAGAAAAAAATGTTTTGATATGAATTAAATTAACCTTCTTTCCTCAACACTTTTAAAGCCAGAGAGACTTCAAAATATACATAAAATAGGAGATACAGGCTCTTTCCCAGGTGCAGCATCATCCCAGCAGGTGAACAAGGTCTGTGGCTTCTCAGGACAAAATCTGCATTTACTCTGTGGATGCTCCATATATGATTCCACCAACCCCACTGAGGGTACGAGGACTTAAGGTTTAACACTATACAAGTCAGGAAACAGAAACCAGCCAAATACAAAATTTTCTATCCTCCAGGAACTATAATTTTTATGGATGGTTTCTGTTACAGCTCCACAGCTGCCAACCAGAGTGTGCCAGGAATTATTGGCTCGCATGACTTTGAACGATTTCTAGCTCTAACTGGGATATTTTTGGTTAAGCTTGAGAAAATTTCTATCAGCAAACTTTGCAGCAGAAGAGAGCTCTGTGGCCACAGTATGACCTCCTGTACAGCAAAGGCAGCCACAGGTTCCTGTGCCCAGGACTAAGACCAAGCTCTGGGTGATGCCCAAGTTATTTATCTCAGAGGTGAGTTATTTATCTCAGTCTGAGCAGGTGATTAGTTGATGACTGTTTGGAATTTTCCTCTTTAGTGACAGTCATTTCAAAAGCCATCTTGAAGGGGATTAAGGATCTTATTCTCATTTTCAAGGTGAGAATAATGATGATATCTGGGCTGAGCAGAGAAATCTCATGAGAATTGTTCCAGTAAAGAAAAAAGTAGTGTCAGATTTTTACTCCAAGGCTCCCAGAAACAGCAGAACTGCTTTTGTCCCACCCCAACCTGGCATCAGTGTGGCACAGGAACTGTGGATCCACACCAACTCACCCCACCCTGGGGCTTCTACCTTGGTGGGTGATAAGTGGGATGGTTTCTTATGATTAGTGTCTCCCAGGCTGACCAGTTAGAGGAAGGAGAGCTATCCACTAAAATGGTCATAAACTTTGGTAATTCCCTATTATAAATTTATCCTAAGGGAGATAAAACAATTTTTTCACATTAGAGGAGGTGGCACAGGGCCTGCAGACACCATGGCACGGGTGGTCCCAAGCTGGGGATGGACATCAGAAGCAGCCAGAGAACAGATGGAGTTTGAGCCCCTGAGATGCCACAGGAGATGAGGAACAGCAGGAGAAACCTGCTCCAAGGCAGGCAGAGACTCCCACTCCCCTCCATGGTGTGGAAGCTGATGGGGAGGTGGCCAGGGCTGCTGGAAATTGAGGTGATAAACTGCTTTGATGCAGTGGATAGGGCTGGGAAGGAAAAGAAGGGCTTGGGTTGAGCTCCCCTCAAGTCAGAGCACATGAGATGCTTTATTGGTCACTCTCCCACACGGAGTGGTTTTGAAAAGGATTAAATAGAAAATCTCACAGCTCCTGCAGTCGTCCCAGTGTCCTGATAGCCCCGGGGAATTCCAGCAGCTCGTTGTAGTTCAGATC